CTATTTGTTCTTGTCTTCTGTATTGCGTCTCTTTTCTCTTCCTTCCGTGCTTTCTATACTGTTTTACAGGAACCATCTATTACTTCACTTCACTATTATACTCATCGCCCCACTATCCAATATTCTCGCAGACGACACATGCTTTTATATTTGCACATATATGCTACTAACAAAATCCTGTCAGAAGCACACGCCACGGAACCACTCCGTTGTCTTTAGTTCCACTGATATTACCTCCTTGCATTTATGTAAGGCCTTCAATTGATACATCGCACCTGTTTAAGAGGCAAACTATATTTCAGTAACTGCCTGAATGTTTTAGGCTCAGACCATGAGATGTTACTCCCAGCCAACAAAGTTTACTTCTGATAGCACAAATACTGGTGTATATTACCTCCAAATTCCATTTCAGCAGCATAGTTCTTGAGAGGACCCCTTTAGAAATTAGTATTTCCACCTTACATCCATCTCCTAGAAGAGACAATGTCTTATTAAACTTTGGTATAAATCGCGAAAAATGGCCCGATCCCTTTAGGCTGTGTTGCCTAGCAAATGATTTCGTCGACGAGATTAGTTCAATACAACCCTAAGCGGTTTGTTTTGCTCGGAAGTGCTAAAAACAGCTAATTTTCAAATGGTCCCACCAGGGATGTCTGCCAGGAGCATTTTACGAATGGGACTAATTGTTAAGTTTTAACAGTAAGACACCTTTCAGCCAGGGAGAAATCATTTGATTCCTTCATTCTATGCATGGGAAAATTTCAATTTGCTGTTTTTGTTGTAAATTAGGGTTCCTACGTCTTTGTCTTCAACTTCGGATCCAATATTGATTCTGGTTTCACCTCTTTTTATGATAGGTAAGGGCCTGTCAATGTAGTTGAAGATTGAACGATCAACTCATGGTTGCTTGCTCAAACCCAACTCCATATTTTTCGCGGGAGTCATCAATACGGCAGTCATCGTCTCATCGTTCGCTGTTCGTCGGAAGACAGGAAACTATCAGAAACTTTGTGTGCAATAACTTAATGGTTGGCTCTGTATTGGTGCAAGAATAAACGGTTCTTGAGTCGCTGATTTGCGTTCTGGTTTTTCGTGTTGGTTGTAGTTAGTTTCTGAAAGTCTTCCAAGGACAGCGTGAGGTCCAGTGTAGTAAGACCTGGACATTGACACAGCCCTTGCCTACAATGCCAAGTGGCTTTGTCTTTTTTCCCCTCAGCCACTCAGCTACTATCAGTTGGAGGTTCACTTACGTCCAGCCAACATTTATTATTGTCAGATCAGAATAATCTATAGCCTGCACTGTGGCGACTCATTGTATCTATAGCAGATTCTGAGTCCACTGAACAGCTGATAGCTTGCTCAAATACTCCATCTTTGCATTTTCTTGGGTCTTCCGAAGCTTACCATTACCTGCTTTTTGTGGTTGCTGTAACCACGAAAGGAGTAGTCGTCAGAATGAAAGCTGTAACTACATTTTCAGAGGTCTAGTTTATTCTTGTGATCTATTGCTTCGTAAAGCAGTGCACAGGTTTTCATGATAAATCCAAGCTCTATTTGTTCATTATGTACAGTGCATTCAGTAGTCTTTTAATGGTGGGCATCGCCGGCTGTCAGGCTGAATTCATTTCTGTGCATATCCTGTGATATAACACACTGCAGTTATAATACTGCATAATGCCTTATAAAGAAAATAAATAACCAGGTCACCACATTTTTGACTGACAATTTGCAGTAAGAAAATAATCGAAGACGACTGGATATCATGCTGGGATATGAATGTACCAGTCCATGTGGTCTTCCTAGACTTTCAGAAGGCATTTGACACTGTTCACCATGACCTTCTCCTACATAAAATAAGCCAGGCAGGCATAAGTGAGCCACTTCTGTCACGGTTAAAGGACTACCTAGCCGACAGGCAATTTTGCACTAAGGTTAACCGAGTCCAATCATCTTGGCACAGATCGTCATCAGGAATGTCGCAAAGTTCTATCCTAGGACCACTGATGTTTTTGATTTTTATCAAAGATCTACCACGCCGTCTAAGCTGCCCGACTCTCCTATACGCCGACGACGTAAAAAAATATGGAGGGCGATAAGGTGTCCAGAGGACTCAGATAGGCTACAGGAAGACCTAAACCTTCTGGAAGACTGGGCGGTGGCCAGTGGCATGACTTTCAACCCGGAGAAGTGCAAAGTAGTGAAGTTGCGCACCTGTAGACTGCAGAATGCAAGTTACACCATGTGCAATGAAAGCTTGTCCTGCACAACGTCGGAATGCGACTTAGGTCTAGTCCCAACGGAAAAAATGGACACAAGCGTAAATTACACAGGGGATGTAGCGAGGGCATATGCGGTCATACACTTTACGCATAGACAGTTAGGTGCACTCGCTCCTGAGCTCTTTCTAAGGTTGTACAAAACATACGTCAGGCCACACTTTGGGGTGCATAATATTATTGCAACCCCAATTCTGAGAAGAGATGCCAACCTCTTGGAAAGAGTCCAACGACGGGCAACAAAAGGAGTGGTTGGTCTCCGAAACAAAACATATGATGAAAATCTGAGCCAATTAGGCCTGTTCACACTTAGCTACCGTCGGCTTAGGAGGGATTTGATTACTGCCTAAAAAATAACAAATGACCAGGATCACCCAAACAAATCTCCAAACAAGTGTCAAAGTCACGCAGACTTATCGGCTTTCTACTCAGGAACTTTTACAGAAATGAGTCCAGAATTCTGTTGTACAAGGTTTGTGTGCGTCCTTTATTTGACTACTGTTCATTCATGTATAGTAGTATACGCATAGAGGATAAATTGAAAATCGAGGGAGTGCAGAGGTACTTCACGTCAAAATTACTCGGAACCGAAAATGGTGCGAACTACTCCACTAGATGTGACATCCTAGGATTAGAAACACTATGGCTAAGACGCCTGAGACTAAACTTAACACTTTACTATAAGCTTCTAAACCACTTAGTTTTTACCTCTACTAATAGCATTCGACTTTCAGATGACAGTGTCTACAAACTAAGACACACTAAGGGTACAGTAGCTATTGAACAATGTAAAACAGCTACCAGGCAAAAGTTTTATTTGATTAAGTATGCACAGATATGGAATAAACTACCAATGCAAATGCGTCAGGCAGGTACATTGGCTTCCTTCAAAAAAGTGCTTAACGACAAACTACACGAGTTTGCAAACGACAGTAGTCCTAGTTCCTATCTGAGAGCCTCCGAAATTATAGGTCCATTTAATGTATAAGTTCAAATACTACACCTGTTGTTTTTGCCTATATTTATAATTTTAGATAAAACATTAACGATTAAGATACTTACCCTCAAACAGACAAGAGGTTTCGTTTGTAAAACTTCTACCCAACACAATAAGTGGAATAAAATGGACATAAACTGACAACATGAAAAAGGTTATAACTCACCACAACATCACATGGACAGATGTACGCTCGTCGGACATCATATATGCATCACCAACTACTACCCAACATTCCTGAGATAATGTGATGAACTTATATCCATAATGTTGCTGAACAGTCAATATCCACAACTCCTGTCGGAACAACTAAAATTCAAAAACCCTCCTCATGAGAAGTAAATACCCACAAGCAGTAGAAATCCATTAATTAATGCGTCTAAAGCTTATGTATTTTACTCCCAACAATGACATTGCACATCAAATGAGATAAACATATCACTGATTTCAAAATAACACATCAATGAACTATAATTCAAGGATTCTGCACACAACAAAGTATTGTACGAAAATTGACTTCAAGCTTTATTTTTTTCCCAGGCACTTATAACCCATCCACCAAAGACCTGGTTTTTTTGTTAATGCGAAGACAATACTTCTGTATTTCCTGATGTGTTGCACTCACTGAAAATCTAGCGGATTTTTCCAACTATGCACAGAAATGATTGTACATAAGTGAAAAGGATGTTTTATACTATTCGGATTAACATTTATCAAGTGTACGTATAATCTCCAGTGTACATGTTAAACATATTTTGCTATCGACTGTGAATTGTGACTGAATAATATGATCCTATTTCTGTAACAATTTGATGATGCCTGTAAACTGGCGTCCCTCATGTACTGTATCATGAGAATAAATTTATTTATTTATTTATTTAAAGGTGTTCTGCCATTGAGTAGGTATAGGCTCCCACGTGGGAATCCCATAAAGATAGCTCACCAGAGGGCAAGGACCCGGGTGCGCTCTCACTTCTTTTCACTGAGGGTTTGCTGTCCCTGGAATTACTTACCGACAGATGTAGCTATGGCACCGTCTTTGGACGCCTTTAAGAGAAGGCTGGACAACCATGCAGCAACACAAGGACTGCATCCAAATGGTCTATCTCCTTAAAATCGCATACACCATTCAGGGGTAGACAAGTAAACTCGTCGTTTTACTTCTTTACATTCTCTCCCGTCTTACTCTCCTGACAACTTATTAATATTATAATTACTATTATTATTATTATCACCGATATATATATATATATATATTATTCTTCAAACTTAATGAGCTGACTGTTGTTACGCTTTCCTATATCCGTTTCTGTCTCTTAGTCTGAATAACATCACTAATTATATCTATTATTATTACTATCTCTTTTCTCTTGTCAACGATACCGAAGGACTAACTGGCGAAAGGATCAACTCCAGTCACAGTAGTAACAGTCTTAACATAGCTCATACTACAAACCACATATAATTAATCCCAGCACTACTCCCTTTGGAGTTAACCAAAACTACGACAGTCGAGTGGCGCAGAAGTTTACCGAAGATCAGGAACCTATACCTTACAATCAAGAAGAGAGTACAAAGAAATCAAATTGGTTTTTACTAGCTCGTAAAAACGATATTGGATATTGAAGATATTTTATCTATAAATGTACTCATCTAGGCCTAAAAGATTAGACAAAAATTGTCTCTAACCGGCCAGTATCGTGCCGAAGGATTATAACACGCTTACTGTATGATTTACTCGATAGAAACATACAATTTATACAGAACATGGAAGAGACTGTTACTGTGTTTTGTTACGGTATGGTTGAGATTCTGCGGAAGGTCAGAGCGCGCATGTTAACTACCGCGTTATGTTTCCAAAGTTTATGAAATGGCCTACAGCCAGTCTAGTAAGTTCCATAAAACTAAATAAGTTACCGCACGCATAAATTCCTATTTAGGTTACTGGTTACTCCGCAGCAGTATCAAAGTGCTAAACCACCTCATAATAATTTCGTTTTAAATCACATTACTGTCTGATATTCTTCCGTCTCTTTTCGCAAAAATACCTTTTCAAACAATTAAGTACATCTGATTTTGACAGAAGCTACCATAGTATATCGAATGAATGAGGTTTGGTTCCGTATTTGCCCCTATATCGCTTGTTTGGATATGGAATGTAAGATTCATTTAGACACTTTTAAAAGGAAAGAGATATAATAGCATTGTCATAATCCTTTCATACGACGCATTATACATATATATATATTGGAAGAGTCAAAAGCTGAATTTATTCATGGGCTTTTGAATTTGTATTACTGATTTCTTTGGCAACTCTTAATGTCCAAAAGTGGTGAGCTTATGCATTCTCATTTCTAATCAACTTGGTTGTTACATAACTGTCGTGGGTATAACGTATTTGTAACTATTAATTTTTTCATGCATTTATTTACCATGCTTCCTGTTCATTTCGCTGAGGCCCCAAGTGTTGCCAATGATTTTCCTACTGGTTCAATGTCCATTATGTGATGCTGACTGCACAATAGACTACGTCCACGTTTAGTATACAAGATGGAGTTTTTTCTCTAGATAACTAGTCTGTCTTCATATATTTAGACCTAAACTATTGCTAATCAATGTGAATGTGGTGCACTTGTCTTTTTACTGTAAGTGATGAATGACTGTCTTATGCATATTTTATGATTGAATTTATCCCAGGAATTCCTCGACGTCGTCGCGCGAATTCAGCCGAACCTAGAAGCAATTACTTCGTGAAAAAGTTTTCTAAATTGGTTCTAAATGGAAATAACACTGAAAATATTGCCCATCCTAAAGAATCAAACGTAAACCGGAAATCAATTTTACAACAGCCAAAGTTTTCAAATCCTTTTGCTCGTTTTACTTCATTCAGTAGGAGGAAAAAGGATGCTCAAGTCAAAGTCGTACGTCACACTGTATCTACTTCATTTTTTCGTTAAATGTCCCGAAAGAATGTCAGTACTTATATTGAAAGACTATACAGTAGAGCTGGTACTTAGTTTTATATATTACACTTAACATCAGGCCTATATAAGAGAAACTTGTCTTTTTAGTCCTATCAGTACGCTTCTGAATAAGTATCCCTAATGTGAAAATTTAAGATAAAAAAACATTTTCATGCCCTAGGGCGTGATCGCATGTACTGTGGTTTATAGAAATGGGTCTTAACAATTACGGAGAAGTTTCCTTAATAAAAAGACTACATATCCGTTAAATGTTGTGATACTTCACCACCTCTGAGACTTTATTCATATGACATCATAGTTTAAATAGATGAAATACGATAAGTGTTAGAGTTTAAGTAGCAGCGTATTGACTTAGGTAAATTTCATTAGAAACATTGGTAGAGTGGTAAATCAAACAGTAAGAGTTCATAGATTGCCAAATAAACGAGTTATGTTTAAAGTATAGGGATTATAAACATTTAAAGTCGCAAAACATTCATGTTGGTTTCGTTCAGTTTCTATAACAAATAAAGGTAGGATGTTACCGAGATGTTAATTTTTCCCTGAAGCAGTGATCGGATTCTTTCAGTTTTGTAGTAGTACAACACATATCTCACTTTCTCGACGTCATTAAATGATAGGAGAAATATTGTCAACGTGATGTTCACTTTATCAACGTTGTAGCTTAGACCGGTTTTCTCGGTTGAGTACAACTTTACTACACCACATAAATGTATTTACACGTTATTTCAGATCCTACATCTCACAGATTGTTTCGGCTCTCAGTTTGTGAATAAGGTGACACAACGATATGGTAAAATGTTGAAAAATATTGTTTGATCATTAAGTTACAAAAATCGTCATGTAGATGTTAGTAATTAATCACATCCCAATAAAGGAGGATAAGTGTTGATGGACGGAATCAATTTAGCTTCTTTAAACCAGGAGGTTGCAATTTCATTTGGTTTATTTGTTTGTCTTGTTCCTGATACTCTTCATAGTACATTCAGTGTTGTGCTTTTGTATTAACTACCTATTACTTACTTTGTTCCTTCATTTTATGAATATTTATTTTTACAAACAGCCGCCACTGGACTTTACACAGTCGTATACTGAATTGATTTTGGAACTTGCTTATACGTCCAATTTGACACGCCAAGTTATAAGACCGTTTAATCGAGAACATTTAGTTAATCAACTAACTGAATGTGCCCGCTTAATTCGTGGACGCATTGCATCTGGCGCTGCATGTATTCAGTTCCCTTCGTCAACTGATGCTGAAAATAATAGTCAACGTGTGCTTGATAAGTAAGTAATTTATTTTGTAAAACACAAGAAACCTATTACTTTATGATCATCAGAATGTCAGGTTTCATTGTTTTCCCTGCAGTTTTATCGCGTATGTTTCAGCAGTCTTTTCTAGTGGTATAGTGAACTCTTGTCAAGATTATACAGGCACTGCCTAATATCATGTATTCCCATAAGGTGGTAAAGAAAGTAATATCTTTCCACTGTTGGGTGTTTGCCTTTTTTATAGCATCAAGAGATCTCATCGTATGCAGCGCCATGTACCCAAATAACACATACCCCTTGAGCATTTACATCATTTTACTGTCTGTCTGTCTGTCTGTTTTCGACATAGAACTTTGCACAAATGTGCGGAAGTTCAAGTCGCCACACTCCGTGTAGCACGCGAAGCAAGAGAAGAAAGTACAAGAAAAGCATAATAGAAACAGTGAGCAGAGGTGTGAGACAAAGGAGTAATAAAGAAATACAAAACAGTTTCATTGAAGATCATAAGTCACAGGGAGTGGATGCATCTACGCCACTGAGAACGGTTTTGAGCCATGTCACCAATTGTTTCCAACCATAGATTTTTACCGTCCCGAGGACCCCAGCCTGGAAGCCTACACCTTCCTACGTGGCTTAGACCAACTGTTGTGGTTTTCATTGACTGATGCCAAGTTTTTGTTTGACCGCCGCTAGCTTTTTTCCAGCCTGACCCTATATCCGCTAACATTGCTCGTCGAGGGAGGCGATGACTTGGCATACGTAACACATGTCCTAACCATCTCAGTCTCTGTAACTTCACGACTTCGTCGATTGATTTCCCCTGTTTACCTAGAACTCTACGCCTAACCTCCATGTTGCTCACCTTATTATGCCACTTTACACGGGAAATAGAGCGCAGGCACCTATGATCAAAGACAGCTAGTCTTTTCATGTCTTCCACTCTCAGTGGCCAGGTCTCACAACCATAAAGGAGGACGGAGCGGACTGATGAGCAGTACACCCGCCCTTTGGTCGATAGTCGAACATCTCGTCTGCACCAGAGTCGGCGTAAACTGGCAAATGCGAAACGAGCCCCTGTATTCGTGCTGAGATTTCGTCAGAGATCAGCCCGTTGGCACTGGCTGATGGTACTTCCCAAATAAGTGAAGCGGTCAACGTGCTCTACCACTTCACTTCCTATTTTTAAACTAGGCGTCGATGTAGTCCAGTCCTGTAACATCATCTTGCATTTGGCGGGAGCGAATTGCATGCCAAACATTCGTAGATTGCGGCTCAAGGTGTTTAGAAGACTCTGCATTTCGTCAGCGTCTTCGCCTAGAAGGACTATATCGTCTGCATATTCCAAGTCAAGGAGATTATTCCCTGATTAGCAAGTCAATCCCTGAGTCGCTGAAGTCACTTAGGGTTAAGTCAATTAACACATCTATGATGAAGTTGAATAGAAAAGGAGATAATGGGCATCCTTGACGAACACTACTAGTCGTCACCAGTTCAGATGACAGCTCGCCGTAAGCCCTCACCTGGCTGTATGAGTACGAATAGAGTGCCTTAATCAGTGCAATATATTTTCTTGGAATTCCCTTTACAGCCAAGCATCTCCAGAGAACTTCTCGGTCGACAGAGTCGAATGCTGCCTTTAGGTCAAGAAATATAATGACTGTTGGACGCCGGTAGGAATGTCTATGTTCTAGAATCTGTCGGAGGGTGAAGATATGATCAATACACTCTCTTCCTGGTCTAAAGCCTGCCTGGCTCTCTCGTGTTTGTGCTTCCCGAGCACCACTCAGTCTACGCATGATTATTGAGCCTAAGACTTTAGATACTATATTAGTCAAGCTAATCCCTCTGTGATTATCACAGGAAGACTTGTCTCCCTTCTTGTATATGGGGATAATCAGTGACTTACACCAACCCGACGGGACTTTTTCTGATTCCCAGACGCTGCCTAGTACCTCAGTTAATGCAGACAGTAAACTGTCTCCACCGTACTTAAATACCTCTGGAGTCATTCCATCAGATCCCGCTGATTTGCCTAGTTTCAGATTGGTGACAGCTTTAGTAACCTCAGTTAGGGATGGAGGACCTGTGTGTATATGCCATTCAGGGAGGTGTTGGATGTTCGGAAGGTTGAGCGTGGCTGTGGGCAAATTAAACTGCTCCTCATAATGCTCTTTCCAACGATCCAGTCGTCTATCCTGGGAGCTAATTATAGTGCCATTTTTTTCCGAGATTGTCTCACTAATGATTTGTCTTCTCCCACCCGTTTCCCTGATGAGTCCAAAGAGTTGCCTGGACTCATTTTACTAATCTAAACACAAAAGTTTTGAATTAAACTTTAATCCGAGTTATTATTTAAATATCTTTAAGCATTACGGATGAATTTAATGTAGTTATCTTATGCATAATATAATACAAATGTTTTAAACCGGGCACACCGCTGTTGAAGTCGACCTCAAACCAGTAAAACAGCCAAACGATATTTAGTTCTTTTCTGTCTGACTGGTCGATGTTAATGGTTTACAACTACTAATAACACTTAGTAATATATGTGATCATAGTTTCTTGGTTCGGGGGATAAAATATTACTGAAATATTAAAGAATAATGCCATTTTTTCATTGTCAGAGTAGTTGCTGTAAACGTGGATTTTAATCTATCTTTTGACTTTTTATTCGTCCCAGTATTGCCCAGGACAAAACCCTGAATGCTAAATTGTCTGTAACGTTGGTTTGATGGTTTCATCTTTATCACATCAAACATAATGTGCATTTCCTCCGTGCATCACCTAGTGTCTAGGTTCTTACATATCTAAATATTGCATGCATTCTTCAAAGCTTATTCTAGTCATAGGTTAATTGTAGTATCAAATTATCATCATTAAGCACTTAGACAGGTAGTTCTGAGTTTGCTTTCCGTTTCGTCTTTGTTGGAGAAATCGTCTTTTTCTATCCTACTAGTCTCACCACCCCCAAGTCTTCGATTTTGGTTTCACTAAGTAATACTATAACACTTTTATTCTTAATGTTCGAGGGTTATTAGACAAAATGGTTAAATTTTGAGTTCTTTATTTCTCAGTGACCACTTGCAAAGGAATGGGTGACTGGAACTGCTGACTCTAATCTATAAGAATGATGCACGTAACCTAGTCTCTGATTTACTTAATAAATTATTTTTGTGAAAAGGCTCATAAGTCAGTTTACTGATTGGCCTTCCTAATTCCTCGAGTGGTAGGTTGGTGTGGACCTTGCGAATTAAAAAAAATCACTCTGAACTTGGTTGATTTATTTTCTCACAAATTAAAAGACTCATCAGCTTAGTATAAACTCAAAGAAAAGACCCATTTTCAAACCTTGGTTTTATGAAAATGAGTTCAGCTATGTACGTTGTACATTTCATCAACCAGAATTGGTGACATCTTCAGCAATATGATTCTTGGATGACTTCAATCAGTACATAACTTATATACACATAATTCGACTTCTGGTTCGCTCACATATTATTTTGTCGTGCTTGTGTGATTGGCTGTTGTCATTTCCTAAACTTTTTGGTTAAACACCTTGATAATGATCGTTTATTATTATTGTCGTGATCATTGAAAAATCCTCAGAGTTAGGTAATCTTGTACTCTACTTATAAGTGAGGGGATTATTTAGAAAAAGAATGTTATCATTACTTTTTTCCAGTGAATTACTTAAAAAATTCATAAATTGTATCGGCAGTTTAAGCGAGGTGAACATTATTCGAAAAGTATAGGTTGTTTTTTCTTTCAAATACAAGTAAATGCTTCATTATTTGAGATTAAATCGTTTGCAAATAATTGTTTGTTTGTTTCTTAGTGATACCTACGTTAATGAATCACTTTCTGCGTAATATGCCGAGTTAAATACAGGCCTTTGGTCTAACTACCTCTAGACACTATGTCTCGATGATTTGAAACACAGCTAGAGATAGAAATCCACCAGTAGATTAAATAGTTTAGTAACCATTCAATGTTTCTCAGTAGGTGATGTGGGACCTAACAGTTGAGCACTACTAGCACTAGTGAATTCTTTCTAACTTGCATCAGACAAAACCTTTTTACTACCTTGTTCAGTAGATAAGGTATACTCAGTAGTTAAGGATGAAAGCGTGAGAATTAAGTCAATATAGAAAGTCCTGTGGATTGAAAGTTTGTATTAATGATGGAACCTTCATCAGAACGTTTGCCAATTATTAAGAGGGATTCATATTGTTGTTATGTATCCGAAAAAAAACTCAATAAATTTGTAAATATTTAAAATTAGCCAAATTATAGCATAATATGCATCCCAGAAGGTGCTGACTGTGTCTATGAGTCGTGCATGAAAATCTTTGAGAAAGACGTGTTACATACTGATGACTGATGGTGTAATTCAAAGTATCTTTTAAACACTTTAAACATGTATCCTTACGTTATCACACTTATAGTGAGTACATATCGCGCATAGATTGACACTGAAGTTAATCACTCACTCAGCAGTAAACTCTTACTTTGCTTTAATATTTGTTTATTAAAATTAAAAGAAACTGTTAATATTTAATTGTTTATCTCACATACCAACTTAGCAGTCACCTTAATATAGTCCAAAAAATGTCAGCAACAGTGTTCATAAAGTGAAAAGTTTAAAACGTGAAAACAGTGCTCACTAACGTATTGCTTCCAGAATTACAGTGGTAACAGGTGGTTGTAAATAGTTAAACATACGGTTAAACAGTTGTGTTTCAATTGCCTTCATATACTCCTTTATCACATAAACCCATAATATAGATGATTACATTCTTATCTAACTTGAAACTTGTTCATATTTTCCAATGTTTCATGAATTTAGCTTCAGGACACTTATTTTTAAGTGTTGGTTTGTAGGGATTTGATTGGTTTCAGGATTTCATCATGAGCTAAGATTAGTTAGAGAACCATTGGAAAACCTGCAATGGAGTACTGGACAGCTGTTTCGTCCTAGTTTGGGACTCTTCATCAGTACGCACCCACCGGGATTC